AATCCGTGCCAGGTGCAGGGTCTGCTGGCTGGGTGCTGGCAGGCTTGCACCTGGCACGGGCACCGTAGCCAGCCTGTGCCCCTTTAAGGGGGCCGGGAGGGGGGCATAGAGTTTCCCTGGTGTTGGCCAGAGTGGCCACCAGGGAAACCTGGGGAGGGCTAGCCTCCCACTAGTTCGAATTAAGGGGCTACACACCCCTTAATTCGAACTAGCTAGTTCGAACTAGGCTTAATCCTCGTGAAATGAGGTTTACCTAGTTCGAACTAAGCGCTCCGCTAGTTCGATTCAAATTCGATCTAGCGGAGTGCTAGTGTAGCGCCTATTAAAGTTAGTTCGAACTAACGTCCGTTAGTTCGAACTAACTTTGTAGTGTAGACATACCCAGAATGAGGAGCAATGGTCTCAAGTTGCAGCGGAAGAGTTTTAGTTGGATATTAGGAAAAACTGTTTCCCTAGGAGGGTGGTGAAGCACTGGAATGGGTTACCTGGAGAGGTGGTGTAATATCCATCCCTAGAGGATTTTAAGTCCCGGCTTGAGAGAGCTTTGGCTGGGATGATTTAGTTGGGGTTGGTCCTGCTTTGGGCAGGGGGCTGGACTCGATGACCACCTGAGGTCTCTTCAATCCTATGATTCTATGCTATGGTACTCAAGAGAGGTGGTGGTATTAAGTCAGCATAACAAAGCAGTTGTGTTGGCAAGCATAATATTTAAAAGCAGATGTATCCACAGTTAGGATGAGATAATGAGCCTTGCATTGACTGAACCAGGTAGTGTAGATCAGGCCTGTATTGAGCCCCTATAGTTCACTGTAATTCTGTGTATTTTTGGAGTGTTATTAGTGTCATGCTTGTTCAGAAATAGAAAATTGCTACAAATGTGTGATTGTGACCCTTAAATAAGAAATCACATTGTGTGGAAGAGGGAAAGAATGAAGTTTCCTATGTCCCTGTAGTGATATCTAAAATTTGTCTAGTGAAGAAAGCAACACAAACTGCACTTTACTGACTCAAAATGGAGGAAATTGCATTCCTCACCTTTGTGTTGGAGATGCAGCTTCTGGAAACAATACACTATCTTGAGTCTCTGTGTCCCACAAGGGCTGTGATAGGCTGCAGTGTTAAGAGGCTTGGTTGAATTGAAGATAAAAGTAAATGCAAAATTCTGAACCGTGCTGTGAGGGTATTAAACTCCTACCTAACCTAAAGAGGGTTGTTCATAGGGTTAGTCCTTTCTCTTCCTGAACTCCCAGAAAGCTGTAAGGGGCCATGTGGAAGAGGCAAAGGCCAGAGCAGGAGCAAAAGGCCTGGAAGAGCGCAAGGGAAGGAGCATAGCATCGCCCAGGCACCGGCAGACGTGGTGTGCTAGTGGCACCAAGACCACTGGCAGAGGGAATAGCGAGTCTGCTCCACAGCAGTGGTTCCAAGCAGAATGGCCTTTGGCTCATGCCTAGCGGCTGTTGCTCCCAGGCCCCAAGCTGGGTTCTGCCCGTGGGCATTACAACAGCAGGGACCCTGGGATCCGAGGCATCTGGGGAGAGCGGTGGGAGGGGCGGGGGAGCCCATTCCTCGCACCAAGACCACTGGCAGAGGGAATAGCGAGTCTGCTCCACAGCAGTGGTTCCAAGCAGAATGGCCTTTGGCTCATGCCTAGCGGCTGTTGCTCCCAGGCCCCAAGCTGGGTTCTGCCCGTGGGCATTACAACAGCAGGGACCCTGGGATCCGAGGCATCTGGGGAGAGCGGTGGGAGGGGCGGGGGAGCCCATTCCTCGGCTCTCTGCCTCGCTTCTCATCCGGGATACTGGGGCCTCGTGTGGTGGGGCCGGCCACATGCGGGAGGGGTGCCCCGGGGGCATGCG